CTGCATCGAATGATATATAATTCGACGTGTTTTGAAAAAAAAAGTTTTCGTCCTAAATTTTAGGCAAAACACCTGAGGGGGACCTCAGGCAAAAATTTCGACAGGAACTTTTTGTCTGCCTTCAAGACGAAACTTAGGGGAACACCGTTTCTCGACATGCCCGATCCAAATATCGCGGTCTCCCGGCCTGAATCGTTGCGAGGAAAAAGCAGGTAATTTTCATACGTTTTTTTGTTTCCAAGAAAATCTACTACGCCTCGCATGCTGAAACCTTTTCATTCTTCTTGCACTCTTTCACCGACTTTGCTCCCAAACTCGGTGGTATAAACGCTTGACTCTTCGTATCAAAACGCCTATGTTCGCCACACTATGCTAAGGTTGCAATTGCGGCAAATCGAGACTTTTCCTTTAAGTAGGTATCTGCGGCAAGCTGTGGATAAGAATATAGACTTGCAGGACATTAAGAATAAAGAGTACAAGAGGATAACAAGGATTTAGCAGACCAAAGAACAAGACGAATAGAAAGGACAAGAAGGATAATAAGGACAATAAGGACAAAACGAACAATACGGACCAAAAGGACAAGAAGGAGAAGAAGGACAATAAGGACAAAAGTACAGTTAGGCTTACGTTGATCTTTACAGATGTCGGTAAATCCTTCAGATGTCTAACTGATGAGAAAGGACGTCAGAGCACTAGAGATGTGCGTGACCAGTGTTCACGACCTTTTCTTGATAAGAATTCACACATTTTTCACGCACAGACATGTCTGTAAATTTAATTATGGTTGTGCGGGGTTGGATCAAGTTGTATATAATGAGTGACAGGACTTTAGAATGATTTGAAGTGACAAACATAATATAACGAAACTTCGTGTTTGAGATGGTGTGTCTGCGTATTGTCCTTTTTGTCGTTATTGTCCTGCTTGTCCTTCTTGTCCTTTTGGTCTTTATTGTCCTTTTTGTCCGTTTTGTCCTTATTGTCCTTTTGGTCCTTTTGGTCCTTTTTGTTCTTATTGTCTTTTCGGTCCTACTTGTCCTCTCTATGTAAGTAAGAGAAAAATCGTAAGGTGTAGTATCAGGAATTTTAGCTCTATTTTATTTTTTGTTGAATTATACATGGTTAGAAAGAGCCATGTAGTTTTAAAAAGATGTTATTTTTTGAAAATCTTCATATCTTAGAAAAATTAATTTTTTCACTCTACAGTTCTCTCAACTTCTGAAACTACTTTTTTTGATTCAGTATCAAAAGCTGAACCTAAAAATGATATTTGAACGGCTGTGACTCTAGAAGTTGATTAAGTATGGCGGTTGAAATCAGATCTGCTAAAACGCACATAGGTCATATTGTAAATCTATGTAGTCTCTTTGATCGATAGTTGTAGCCAAATTTCTTAATTCATTCGAATCGCCGAATTACAAAAAAAAGTAAATATCCGGTTATTTTTATTTTGCTTTGTCACTGAGAAAATTCATTTGTTTAAACCAGGAGCGAAATAATTATAATTGTGCTCGTAATTCGCAATTTTCTCCATCACAGCTCATCTTTTATGCAAGAAAAATATTGTATTCGGAGTCAACATCAATAACAGAGTCGAACGATATATATTTCGAAAGTTTTCGTTGATTTACATTTTTTTGTGAAAATCTTGGAAATTTTTCGACGTGAAAATTCAAAAAAAGTAAACGTGATCGGATAGGATAGAAAAGTATATCGTTTGAGTCATTTTTTGACCGGTTACAAAAGGTACATCAACACTACGCTAGAATAACAACACCCTGAATGTTGTTTTTCAGTTACTCTCGTAACTCATCTTTACACTACCGCAATGAGCGAGGTGTTTGAGAAGATACTTCCACAAAATTCAAAAATGAACACAAATTAAGAAAACGTAACTAGTTTTCCTCGTCCAGAGACAAATTTTCATCAACTGCACCAAACAAGTATCAACTGAATATCCGTTCTATAGCATTAGAATATGTTGAGAATTCAGGGTGTGTCGCCAGAATAAGTCGAAAAGAAGGATGAAGGTAAGATTTTTGACGAACGGATGTAGTAAGAAGTAGAAAAAGACTGTGGAAAATGTTTTTCTATCTGTTTTATTCTCTCTAGCCATAATACTGTCATTTCTTAACTATATAATTTTGAGGAAAGCCATCTGTATTTCGTTTACTGGAATATAATCTAGAACATTTTATACATGGAATTAACAACAAATAATTTACAAATATTTTATTTAGATCTTTGTTTACGCAGATATTTACACTAAATATACAACATTGTTTCTCATCGGTTCCAAGTAGAACCATTCTAATGTCCTTCAAAGTCATTTTCGAATAGATTGAGTTCTTTTTGTTCTTCAGCTTTATCTAGAATTTCAAAATGATTTCTTTCAAACAATTTTCGTTCTAATTTTATCGTCTTTAACTGCTTGTATTCTTGAGGTAGTTCGGTGAGTAATACTACTGTCTTACCCCGATATTTCGTCACATCATTAACATAGAATGGTTGTTGACAACGATATAATATTTCGTACTCTTGCCAACCGGCAGCGATCGATTGAATTTTACGACCCGTTTTAGACTCGATGATATACTGCAGCGGTTTGTCCGTGTAATACGACGGTGTGCGACGAAATGATGCACTCCAAAATGCTGGACTACAGAGGACATTGCCAACATGAAGTTTTTCCATTGAACCTGGATATATGTCTTCGCCACGTGTCACATAACCCGAGTAGCACTCTAGCTTCTGTAACGCTTGCTCTATGAAATATTGAATAACACCGACAAAAGAATTCACTTCACCATCGCGAAGACAACGATTTATTAGTTCATAATGACTTTGCGACTGTTCGCAAATCACATCTATACTCGGTACATCAGTTATTCGTATTGGAATTGTATATACCACATTGTGATTCTAGAAATTCAAAAATGCTCAATTTGTATTCTTCGTTGTTGTGACCACTCGTATATTTTTCGAAATAAACATTTAGAACGGGATTCTGCGAAAATTTGACGCATTTTTAATTTATTATAGACAGATATGTAAACCGGTTTGTGTTCATATGATAGTTGACAAACATTAGTTTTTGTTTCTGTTTTATATTGGAGACAGAAGTTGTAGTGATACCACGTTTTTTCGTCTATATCATGCAAATATTCACTGCTACTGATAATTGGATCTGCTGACAAACTAAATCTACTGTTTGATCTTGTTTTCATCTAAAGACAAAAACAGCATTGATTTTAATGGATATTTCTCAAGTTCCTCTTAGTTCATCTTGTTTGCTGTAAACCAACCAAAGAAAAGTCAGTGCTACCTTTTTTTAAATGTAATAAAGTTTGATGATACTTTTGTTGATAAGTACCACAATTACACAAACAACAAGTCTTAATTTATCAATTGAAAAGTTTTGCTTTTTCCCTTTTCACGACCACAAGCTATCACTGTTGTGGTATAAAACTGGACTCAATCAAACAATCAATCAGTTTATTTTAACACGAATGTGTCTAGGATATTACAAAAAAGAAAACTTAAATGAATGTAACGCCTAAGCTAAGATCTAGAAAAACAAGAAGGAATTGTTACACATAAAGAGAAAAAAGAAAACTTTAAACAGAGAATTACAGATTCTAATCACCGTTGTGAAACTACATATTTAATGTACGGGGAAGAAAAGAGTATTTAGTTGTTTATAAGCTTGCCTTATGGATAGTCCACTGGGACCGATTATTCAGCCTATCCGACATTCTGCTAGCTACAGGTATGATCATGCTAAATCTTGAAAGAGCACTTTTTCCTATCATAGTTTTATGAAAATGTAACAAACGAAAATGTTTTCGTCTTTTATTCAGTTAAATCAGAAAGTTTAATTTGTTCATCAGTAATGAACTGCTCATTCCGTAGTCATTACAGATTATTCTGGCTGCCACTTTTTGAACAGAAACTAGTGGGTGTGAATGTATTTTTGCAGCAGTATCATCAACAATAGAACAATAGTCCATGACTGGCATTATGCACGTTTCAAAGATGTGAAGACGTAGAGAAGGTGGTGCGCTGTTAAATGTACGGTGCATTGCACCTAACATCTGTCTACTTTTTTGGCTACATCAGAAATATGAAATTTCCATGTTAGATTGTTCGATAAAAAAAACTTCTAACAACCTAATATTGTTTTCCTTAACCGGAGTCTGTCCTGATAAAAAAAGCGAACTTCCTAGAGTAGAAGGCGATGTGGCTGTTGAAAAGAGCATAAAAACGCACTTATCAATGTTTAATTTTACTAGCATCTTGTCATATCAGTCAGGCATCGCATCACGGTCATTTTGAGCATTTACCAAATGTGTAAAATCGTGCACAGGGACAAGAAGAAAAACATCGTCAGAAAAAAGACAAACAATTGTTGTAGGGGGAAAAATGCTGTAGAGGTCATTGGTAAAAATGAGGAAAAGGATGGGACTCATCAATAGAGTACTGTGGGGTTATAACTTTTTACACTCGAACTCGTCTAGTTTAGGTGCTCTGCTGATCCGAATCTGACACGTACCCGAGCACGTACCCGTATCTTTTAAAATTTTTGTACCCGTACTAGCAGATACCGGGGATTTCTCAAAATTTTTTCTAATAATACTTTTGTTGTTGAATTGGAGTTACGACGTTTTTAAACCAAGTATATGTGTATTCAAACAAAGTTGTTTTGTCCGTTGTTAAACGATTCTCTTTTTTCGCCTGCTGACCGATGCAATTGTAAATCAATAAAACGATGTTACTGGCTCCAGATCTAACGAACAGAGACTAGTGTGTGTGAATCTAAAATTAACTCCAGATCCGATAATGGATCCAGCGGATACAGAGTAGAGATGTTCGGTTCTCGGTTCTCGCTAAGAACCGGAACCGCGGTTCGGTTTTGCGTGAGGAACCGGAACCGCGGTTCTCTTGTTTTCGGTTCTTCAGCTGGAACCGGAACCGCGATTCTCTTATTTTCG